ACATTCCCCCATTGGGTCTATTAACTCATGACTTCTTTTTCTCTTTATCTGTCTCTATGAGTTTGCCTATTCTGAATATTTCATCTAAAAGGAATCCAACACTATGTAGTCTCTTGTGTCTGGCATCTTTCATTTATGTAAACTTCTTAGTTGATCCATATTGTAACTTCGATGCAGTGTAAAAATGCTAACACTGCATTACTCACATTCCTTTCAATGACTGAATTATATGCACAGAACCTTTCTTTCTGGCTTATTTCATTAAGCATGACCCCTTCCAGTTCCATCCATGTTGCTGCAAAAGGCATGTACATTTTTTGATTGCTGAACAATATTCCATCGTGTATATGTGCCACATCTTCTTGATCCAGTCATCTATTTTTGGGCATTTGGGTTGATTCCACTTCTTCCCTATTGTAAATAGAACAACAATAAATATAGGGGTGCAGGTGTCCTTTTGAATCAATGTTTTGTGTCCTTTGGGGATATACGTAGGAGTGGGATTGCTGGGTCATATGGAAGCTCTATTTTTAGCTGTTTGAGAAACCTCCAAACAGCTTTCCATAGTGGTTGGAGCAGTTTAAATTCCCACCAGCAGTACAGGAGAGTTCCTTTTTTCCCACATCCTCGCCAACATTTGTTGTTGCTAGTTGTTTGAAGATGTGCCATTTACTGGGGTGAGATGGTATCTCATTGCGGTTTTGATTTGCATTTCCCTTATTACAAGTGATGCTGAACATTTTTTCATATGCCTGCTGGCCATCTGCCTTTCTTCTTTGGAGAAGTGTTTTTCAGCTTTCCTGTCCATTTTTCGATGGGGCTGTTCACTTTATTTTTGTTGAGTTTCATCAGCTTTTTATATATCTTTGTAATCAGTCCTTTATCATTAGCATTGTGTGCAAAAATCTTCTCCCAATCAGTGGGTGTCTCTTTGTTTTGTGTAATGTCTTTTTGCTATACAGAAGGCCTTTAATTTGATGTAGTCCTTTGCACAGTTTCTGTGGCTTCATTTTCTTGAAACCCAGACCTCTTGCAGTATGTGTGCTCCCCCCCACTCCAGCACCCCAACTTTCTCAGCACTGCTTCATTCTTCATAACATTAGGACCCTCAGATACTCCTTTTGAGTTTGTCAGCTCTCCAAAGGCAGGGATCTGTATGTCTTGTTCACAAATGTCACCTCAGAGCCCAGAACAGTGGCACACAGCCAGTGATTAAGAAATGTTGGCTTGATTAATGACCATATTGACACACCCTTCTCCATCAACCCTCATCAGGACCAAATTCTATCAATGCTTCATTCTCAGTATCTTTCCGTAGGGTGAGCTTCTTCCCCTGGCCACCCCATAGCCTAATCCAGCACCTGGTGAATGGATGAATGAGGCATTGAATGAATACATGGAGGACAAGCCTGGCCAGACATTTCTGGCCAGCGCATGGTCTCTGATTTGAACCTAAACTTGTGTTAATTGGGCTGCTCATATATATTTCTGTTCTAGGAACAAGGCAGGAATGTGCTTGCCCCACTCTCCAGAGGGGGTATGTGACTTGTTTCGGCCAATGAAGTGCTAAAGGGCATGTCATTTTCCGGTGGTAGCCTTTAAAAGTCAGTTTTCTCTGTCAGCCTGGCTCCTGAATGAGCTGTGAAGCAGGGCCTTTGCCACCCACCTCACGCCTTGGCAGGAAAAAGAAATAAACCTCTGATACTGGCCCTCCCTGGTGGCGCAGTGGGTTAAAGCACAGCACTGAGAATCTAAAGCCGCTTCGCTTGAGTTCAATTCCCGCCTGCCCTGGAGGTGACCACATGGCGTGGCAGACCTCTCCTGACCTGCCCGCTGCTCCCCTCAGCAGTGTACTTTGTCGATCTGCCTGTTCTGCTCCCCACTCTGTCTCTGGTGAAGCCTCTCGCTGCCCCTAAGCCTCTGGCCTGTACCCCAGTTCTGTATGCACAAATAAATAAATCTTTAAAAAAAAAAACAAAAAACCTCTGATACTTAAGCCACGGAGAAGGTGGGTTATTATTACAGCATAGCTTAGCTTATCTTCTTCTTATAGCTGATATGTGACCTTGGGACAATTGCTTCATGTTGCTGAGGCTTGATTTCTCCATCTGCAAAATGGGAAGGAATATAGCAGTCCCAGCCTCCTCTCAGTCATTCTGAGAGTTCAAGAAGTACGGACAAGGAAAAGCAAAAAGGTCAGGCCCGATTCACTGGAGTTGTTGTTTGTTGTTATTATGTTTAATTTTGGTGAAGGAAGAAGACCCCTTTGGTACTCCCCATTTCCTAGGGCTGGGGTAGGAAAAGCTTGTATTAGTCAGGTAGAGCTGCCATAACAAATAATACAGAGTTGGTGACTCAAACAACAGACATTTATTTTCTCACAGTTTTGGAGGCTAGAAGGTCAAGATCAAGATGTCGGCAGGACTGATTTCTCCTGAGGTCTTTCTCCTTGCCTTGCGGAAGCAGCCTCTTCCTAGTGTCCTGAGAACGTCTGTCCTTGTGCCCACATCATCAGGTGTCTCTTCCTCTTCTAAGGACACTGATCCCATTGGATCCATCCCATGACATCACTTAACCTTAATTACCTATTTACAGGCTGAATCTCCAAAATAGTCACTCTGGGGAGTTAGGATTTCAACATTCAAACTCTGAGGGGCACAATCGCCATTTAAGCTAGCAGGTGTTCAGGCCATAGACCTTCCTCTTGAAAATACTACCATCTTGAAGGTGGGGGTTGCATTAATTAGGACTTAAAGGAGCTGGGTAACAGAATCCTAAAGCAATGGTAGCTCAAGCAATAAAGCAGTTGTTCTCTCCCAGGAAACAATTTAACCTGTCATGGTGGTCTGTCTGTATGATTGATCCTGCCCACGTTCCAACTTGGCTCTGTGCTTTCCTCATCCACATGATCCGACCTGACTACCACTACCAATCTTTCCTTCAGCTTCAGGGAAGAGTGGATGGAGAAAGAGGAATCTTTTTCCTTAAAGGATGTTACCTGAGAATTGTGTTTAATCACTTCTGCTCACATGCTATTGGCTGGGAATTAGTTATATGGTTACATCTAGTTACAGGGAAGCTAGGAAATGTAGTTTTTATGCTTGGCAGCCTTGAACTTGGTTGAAAACCCTATTACTGAGGAAAGGGAGAGAGACAAGCTATCAGGGCTTAGTAAGCAGTTGCTGGCATTACAGAGATGGAAGACAGGCATATGGTTCTCCCTGTCTGGGTTCCAGGGCGCGTAGAGTCCCCCCACATCCCAGAGCCTAGCAGCCAGGGACTGGACTGTGAACTGCCTTTGTGACCTAGTTGACCTCAGCAAGCAGGAGGCCAGAGACTCAGGTACTGGATGTCCTGGCGGTCTGGGGATAGAGAAGTCCCTCCCCAGGAATATTTGCATAGTGAACCAGTGGGAGAGGAGACTTCCCTTCTGTGAATTCATTCTCATCTCTGCCATTAAATTCTTATTGCTGCTTTAACAAATTGCCACAAAAGTAGTATTTTAAAACAGCAGAAATCCATTATCTTACAGTTCTGGAGGTGGAAGTCTGAAACCGGTCTCACTGGACCCAAATCAAGGTTTCAGCAAGGCTGAATTGCTTTCTGGAGGCTCTAGGGGGAAGAATGTTTTCTTGCTTTTTCCAACTTCTAGAAGCTTCTGCTCACAGGCCCTTCCATTTCACAGTCAGCCTGGGCCAGTGGAACCTCTCACAACGACTCTGACTCAGTGCTGTGTTGGCTTTGGCTCCTTCCATCTTCCATCTCTGCTTCCTTCTCTGACGCATCTCCAGACACTTCGTCCGTGGCCTTCATTCATAGGCCTTCATTCACATACCCCAGCATAATTATTATCCTCTTATAAGGACTCCTGTGGTTATATTCAGGGCCCACCAGGGTAATCCAGAATCGTCTCTATCTCAGGATCCTTACTCACACCTGCAAAGTCCCTTTGGGCAGTTGAGGGAGCATTCCCAGGGGATTTGGATAGGGACCCTTTCGTGAGGCCATCTTTCATCGGACTACTAGCTCTTGTTTTTCAGCTTTCCTTTGCCCAGGAATGTTCATTCGCTAGTTCCACCATGATCCCTGCTCACCTCCTTTAGGTCTTTGGTCATTGCTACCTTCTCAACAAGACCTTCTCTGTCTTCTCTGTTTAAAACCTCATTCTCCCTCCTCTCTTTATCCCCTCAAGGCACTTATCACCCTCCAGTCCACTGTGTGTGTTAGTTATTTATTGTCTCCTGACTCCCTCCCCTACCAGACTGGCTCTCAAAGAGAGTAGGAGTTTCTGTCTGTTTTGTTCCCTGCCAAGATGGAGAATTGTGCTTATTTATCGCTGAATAAATAAATTAAGGGGTTATAGACTGGGCCCACATTTGTGATGGGGGATGGAGAGGGAAGATACTGCCCTGAGGGCCTGGGTGAAGTGCAGATTGGGGGCAAAGGGTCAAGACTGGCCACAGATCTAAGAGCCCAACTGGACTTGCCTAAGGTGGGGAGGTTCCTGGCAGCCATGGTTCTAGGCTAAGATGGTCACTGAGAGCCACAGGCCTTCCAGCCAGAGCCGGTCCCTGGGGCACATGTCATGGGGGCTGCCTGGTCCTCAGGGAAGGAGAGACTCTGAGGGAAACTGGCCAAGCTGGGGCTAGATATTGAGAGCTGTGAGTTAGGAGGTCCTCAGGGAAGGAGAGACTCTGAGGGAAACTGGCCAAGCTGGGGTTAGATATTGAGAGCTGTGAGTTAGGAGGCCTGCCAAGCAGATGTCTATGAATTCTGCCCGGAGGCAGATCCAAGATCATGCTCCTCACCCCCAGATAGCCTGATGAACCTTTGGGGTAGCAGGAGGCAAGAGCCTGTTCCTCCCAGGCTGACAGCCCAGGTGTCTTGTTACTCAGAAGGTGAGCTGGCCCATCACGGTCTCCTGGTCCCTCCTCCCATCATACCTGCCCCATCCCAGGCTGCACCGTGAGCCAAAAGTCCACCTTGTCTGTCTCACAGCTCTACAGGCCCAGTCCTCCTGGGTCTCTGGTGTTTTTCTGTAGGCACGTGGTTTCCTGGGAAGTCAGAGGCTCTGGAACTCCCTCAGGGGTTGGGACCAGCTGGCAGTAAGGGGCAGGGTCAGGGTTTAGTAGGTCCTGGGAGGGGGAAAGAAAGAGAGGAATTGTTTTGGGGGTTAGAGATGTGGGCAGAGGGTCGGGGTATGGGGATAAAGAGAGGAACAGCACAGGAGAGATATGGATGGAACCATACACTGAGAGAATGGAAAATTGAGATGGGCAGTGAGACAGAAATACTGGAAAAGCCAGATAAAAAGGTGGACACGATAGACATGAAGTGACCAGAGAAAGAGAGATGGGGAGAAAGACTGAAAACTATAGAGAAACAAAGATATATGATGATCTCTCTCTCTCTCTCTCTCTTTCTCTCTCTCTCTCTCTGGACCCCAAGAAGGGAGAGACATGCAGAAAAATGAAGACAGACAGACACAGAGACAGAGCAGGAGACAGAGAGGTAGGGCCAGAGGGGGATTGAGACCCAGGCCCAGGGTTGACCTGGGTCACACAGAGGCTCTTTCCCTCTCTGGGCTTCATTTCCTCCTATGCAGATTCAGAGGAATGTTTTCTGTGTAAAAACATTTATTTGTACTAATGTTTAGAGTACAGGACCTAAAGAAAAAAAGAGAGACCTCAACTCCAAAGCAACAGTGAATCAGGGCCTGCCCACAGCCAAGAGGAAGGCCACTCCCGGTGTCCAGGAGTGGCTGTCCATAGCTACTCAGCGTCAGTGTCACCAGGCAGAGAACAGGAATCAGGGTGAAAGAACTTACCAGCTGCTAGCGAGCGTGCAAGGGAAGAAAGGGGCATCTAAGTGGCTCCCCCGTGAGCCAGGAGCCAGGAAACACAGAGCAGGAGGCAGAGACTCCAATTCAGTTAAGGGCAGGAGCTGAGTGCCCAAGTCCAGGAAGAACAAAAGGGGATTTCGGAGGTAGGCTTTTTCAGAGGAGGAAACTGCAACCCCAGGAGGGGAGAGGACTTGCCCAGGGTCTCTCAGTGAGGCTGTCATGGCCTCCTAGGGAGCTAGAGCCTGGAGACGAGGGGTGGAGGGACTGGTGTGGACAGTTCCCTTTTATCAATCTGGTCCTCATGACCCCTTCCACCGGGCTCCATTGGGTCCCCATCACCCCCCCAGGCCTCCCAGCTCCGCACCTGGTAGTGCTGGTTCTGTGGCTCCGGCTGCAGGGGCAACGGCAGGGCTGGAGGCTAAAGGGGAGAACACAGATGAGCCAGTGCCCAGCACCCTTAGACGTCCAACCTTTGACCTGTGTTAGGATGGATCTAGGTTCAAGTGACCCTTCCAGAGACAAATGTTCTCCTATTGTGCTATTTCCTGCCAGTCTTCTCCTTGTGGTTTTATAAATAGGGAGCATTGTAGAGAGAGTATCTCAGTCCCCAAACTGTGTGACAAGGCACCCCAGAGTACCATAACCAGCTTGGAGGAGAGGCACCAGGTAGGGGACAGGGTGGGGGACTCACCATAGCAGTGTTCATGGCCCCCAAGTCACTGAAGGGGGACACTAGGAGGACTGGAGATGGCATCACTTCATAGACAATGTCATCACCTGGAGCAGAGGACAAAGAGAGGAAATGGCTGACAGGTGGTTCACAGGCCTCCTCTGGCTGCTGCCTATAGTCATTCATTCATTCAACTAACATCTAGACAAATCCCTCTTCCTTCCTGGGTGAGAGTGATGCTGGGGACAGAGTGGTGACTGAGGCAGTCCTGGACCTGCCCTCAAGGATTCATAGTTCAGTAGGGGAGACACACAGGGATGACCCAGAGTGGGCAGGGCTGGTGGAAGGTGCTCAGGGAGGGCTTCCTGGAGGAGGGGACACCTAAATGGGAAAGAGAAGTGAAAGCTTGAAGGGGCACAGGAGGGTGGATGTAAGGGCTGGTGGTGAGAGCCTCCTCACCATCTGAGGAATTACATAATATAACTGGTGGGTTTTAGATCTCTCTATATTTTTATCTCTACCTATACATTTTTTCTTTTTTAAGATTTTATTTATTTGTGTATACAGAATGGGGTAAAGGCTAGAGGTGCTGGAGCAGTGGGAGGATTCATCAGAAACAGAGTGGGAGCAGAACAGGCAGATCAATGAAGTCCACTGCTGAGGGGAGCAGCGGCGAGCGAGACAGGAGAGGTTGGCTGCTCCCTGTGGTCTATCTCCAGGGCAGGGATTGAACTGAAGCCCCCACGGCTTGGCTTATCTTCGTGGTGCAACACTCCAACCAGCTGCGCCACCAGGGAGGGCCCTTTATTTTTAGTATGGGGATGTGAGAAATGAAACCAGGAAAAACTGTGGCGAACAGTTTATGGGGGGCCCTGAGAGCGAGGTGAAGGTGTCTGAATTTTGTTCCTAGGGTGCCATGGAGGGACTTTGAGCAGAGGAGAAAACAGGATCAGAGTTCTTGAAGGACATGCCAGGGATGGGGGTTGGGGAAGAGGTGAGCCTGGAGGCGTGGAGACCAGCTAGGAACCAGGTGTGGGAATCTGGGAGACAGACCTGGGTGGATAATGGCCCAGAGGAGGATGGGAGGCTTGAGTGTGAGCAGGCGAGTGTGGAGGGGTTTGAGGGTAGGGAGTACCAGCCATTGAGGAGAGGAAGAAAAACAGGTTTGGGGTGAGAGGTGATGTATGCAGCATCTGCGAGCTGTCTGGGGAACCCCAGCGAGATCTGGGGGGCAAGAGATTGGGAGCCCTGAATAGGGCAGCACATGGGGGTTTGTGGCTGCAGGGAGCACGGAGGTGGGTGGAGTGGCAGAGGGGGTGTCTGGCTTACCGGCATTATGACTGGGGCCCAGCTCCGGTTTCTCTGCAGCTGTTGTCCTGGGGACATACAGACAAACTGCCCTTAGGAATGTTCACCTTCACCCACAGAAGGTGGAAAACCCTCCAGACCTCAGAGCTAGGTCTTGTTCAGAATGAGCAAGAGGAAACCTATCCCTATTGCTGCCTTTTCCATAATCCCAGCCACACAGCCCTTCCTCAGTTTCCCCAGCTGCCACTTTATACCAACAAACCTTCCCCTAATGTCATTTACTATCTAAACAATTCTGCTCCATCTACCTGTTCCATGACTTCCTTCATATTTTTCTTTCAGTTGATTCATTCAAACGCCCTTATTTAAAAAGTTCACTTGATACCACAATGACACACTTGTTAATTCACTAAACAAACTGTTTTCTGAATACCGACCATGGGCTGGGCACTGCAGAAGGCACTGGGGTCACAGCTGGGAACAACACAGACATAGACTTCTGGCCTCCTGGAGCAGACACTCTGGTGGAAAGAATTGAAAAAAACCATCAACTGTAGAATGTGTTGGAGAGAAAAGTACAATGAAAGAAATTACAGATGGAAAGGGGTGTGGGATGGAAAATGCATCAAATTTTGAGTAGAATGGTCTGGGGAGCCTCCTTGAAGTAACATTTGAAGAAAGGCATGAAGTAGCTCAGAGGAAACATGGTGCAGAAATCCAGGAAAAAGAGTTTCAAGCAGCATGTGCACAGCCCTGTGGCAGAAGCAGGAACAACCGAGGAACAAGGGGGCAGGTAGGAAGGAGTGAGGTCAGGGAGGTAAAATGGGACTGGCGGTGGGGCCGGGCCTGTGTTCACAGTGAGGGTTGTAGCTTTGACAATCAGAGCATTCCAGTACCTGGCCACAGAGACAGGCTTATGTAGGAATGACCCTGGGAGGCAGCCGGGGTTTTTGTTGGAACCATCAGGAACATGGTACAGTCTTCCCTCTGGGGTAGCTGAGCTGCCATCATGGTGAACTATCTCTCTGTATTACGAGCAGAAGGCCTGCCTGGGAGCGAAGCCACCACAGAGAAAAGCAGGGTTGAGGGGTAAATGCAAGTGTTTCTTGATAAAATGGTCTCTGGATGCAGCCATACCTGAAATTCATGTTTTGTGGAACAAAATAAAACAAAGAAACTTCCTAAATTCCAGGAAGCCAGTTTAAGGGTAGGGCTTCTGTTCCTTGCAATGCAGAATTCTGTCTAATACAGGCAAGGAAGAGACTTTTACCTCAGCAGTTCCAAGCTTGGTGAGACTGTTTTGGCGTGAGTGATGGGAGTCATGGAAGAATCAACACATGGACCTGAAAGGCAGGGGGGAGGCTCGGGGGTTCCCATACCTGTGGTTCTGGCCCTTGCAGCCACGTATCACCAGGAGGTAGGTCACGCCGCCGATAAGGAGGGACCCAGTGGCAAGAGCTCCAATGACAATGGCAGCCATGACCCCAACGCTTTCGGGCAGGCGTCCAACTGCAGACTCCTTATGCTTTTCCAGGGAGTCTGAGAGAGAGTGAGGACATGTGATGTTTTGGCGGTGGAGGGGGGGGCTCCTCAAAAACCTTGCTTCCCTAGAATTTTCTGCCATTTATAATACTTCTGGACATGCTACCAACCCGGTATATTCTCTCCTCAGTTGCTACCCCCTCCTTCCTGGGAAAGAATGAGGTTCCACTGTATTTTGTAGGGGGATGTAAAGGGCTTAACTAATAGGATTTTCAAACTCCACATACCAGCCCCATCACAAGAAACTCCTGCCTTTAATCTCAAGCTGGATACCAGCTCCTTCTAATAGCTAAGTTTATAGACTTGGAGGTCAAAATGCTGAAGTTCAAGTCCCCGTTCCCTACTGGCTGTGTTGTTTATAGACTATTCAACCTCTCTGTGTTTTGAATTTCCATTTTGTGAAATGGGGAGTAGGAAGATTTTATAGCATGTACATGCATGGGCATGCATACACGCATACACACACACACACACACACACACACACAATTGTCTCAATTATGTACCAAAGTGAGTTCTGTGCCATTTTGCAGATGAGGAGACTGAGGCAGCCAGAGATCAACGGACCTGCCTAAGGGCTCATTAGAAGAGTAGTGCTGGTCACACGCTGGTCACCTAAACTCCTAGTGACTGTTCTATGTGACTCCTAAGAGAGGTGCCTGTGTCCTGGGAGCCCAGAGCGGTGGGAGTGAGCTGATTAGAGACAAACTGTTATTTCTAAGTGAACTAGAGGGTCACTTTATATATATATAGCTGTGTAATCAAATTAATATATATTTTAGGTTGACCTTTCTCCATGCCCTCCATTCCCCTTAAAGTTAACTTGCTCAGAATAACCAAGAGCACAGATTTCTGGCCAGCCTGTGACTATGCAGGTGCCTGTCTTTCTCCTTTACCTAACAAACCTGTACCTTTCAAATGCAAAACAAAAATAAGCAAACAAAATAATAACAATTCATTTAAAAATTAACCTGATTACTGGGAAGAAGTGGGGTAGCCCCAAACTAGTGTTTTGGCACTTTAAGTCACTGTCCTCACAGGTTAGGGCAGGAGCTGTGTTAGACTCACTCTGCAGGTGTGCAAACCAAGGCCCAGAGCAGGTGCATCTGGAGAGAGAATAGAAGTTTCTCTTCCTGACTACACTAGCAACTTTCTATCTTACTGAATTCCCACAGCAGCAGGTGGAAATTCACTGACTTCTGTGAGGACTCAAGAGGGAGAGCAAGGTCAAGGCCGCACTGACTGACTGGAGACCCTGTCCTGCTCACCTACCACCTCCTCCCCCTTTCCTAAAGCAGTTATAACCACTTCTCTCCAGATCTGGTCCCTGCTGCTCATTCACCAATACAGGCTCATCACCCACCAGCTCCTGCCTCACCCTCTGGGTTCCCTGGGTTTTGCTCATGTTGTTCTTTCTCACACGGTAATTCCTCCTCATTTCCCATTCCCGGCTCCTTCCAAAAAGCCTTCTCTGAGAAGCCAAGGCCACGGAGACTTCTGATAAAAATTTCTTTCATAGATGACTTACTTATGTAATAAACTGATTTATGTTGGTGCAGAGGACATATGGGTGTCTCCCCAGCATCTTCTAGGCCATTGCCAGGCCTCCAGGGCTTCTGGAGGAACTGACTGACTGATCACAGCCCCAATTTTGGGTGGGGCTGTATTAGCATATTTAAGCCGCATAGTCCCACCTCCTGCCATGGAGATTGGCTTAGGACGGTGACAATCCAGAAGTAAACCAACCAGAGCTCTCTTTCTCTGATTGGTTTAAGCTGGTCCAATCAGTGTGAAGTAAAGGCCTTTCTTCAGAGTTAGGCAAAAAGAGATCTCTTTTGTCTTGAAAGTTGCTGTGGGCTGTGCAGACATCTTAGGGTCACGGAGGCAGGCAGCTGGAGAGTGGAGTCAGCCCTCAAAAAAGGGCTGAGAGGGCCTTCCCTGGTGGCGCAGCGGGTTAAAGCTCAGCGCTAAGAAGCTAAAGCCACTTCCGCATGAGTTCGATTCCCGCCCGCCCAGGAGGTGACCACATGGCGCGGCAGACCTCTCCTGACCCGCCTGCTGCTCCCCTCAGCAGTGTACTTCGTCAGTCTGCCTGTTCTGCTCCCTACTCTGTCTCTGGTGAAGCCTCTCACCCTCCGCATCTCTGGCCTGTACCCCAATTCTGTACGAATAAATAAAATCTTAAAAAAAAAAGGGCTGAGAGAACCTCTCAGTGAAGCAACCAGAGTCTAGTGGGATCTGGGTGTGTCCCATCTACTGTCAGAACTTTTTGTTTAGTGTTTTAACTATAGGAGTCAATCATTGATTTGTTGCTCAAGTCAGTCAGAGTTGTGTTTGCTTTAACTTGCCATTACCGGTAATTCATTCTGGTGCCCTCTGCAGGCTGTGGCACACAGCCCCAGGTTTTGGGCACCGTGGCTACACCATCAATATTGACTCAACAAATGAGTGGAGTCATTTAGTTTCATTGTTCAGAAATATTTTGCAATGAAAAAAAAAAATCGTTGCGTCCAGGAAATACCAAGTATGAGGAGCTTGGGTGGAGTAGATGGTGACAGACTTGGCCTGAGAGGTGGGGTGTCATCATTCTGTTCTGTGAATGAGATCCTGAGGTTCCCAGAAGTGAGACTCTATCTGTAAAATGGACTGATAACCTCTCCTTCCTCTTTGGGTCAGGGGAGGACATGAAACCCCTAACAAGTGCTCGCACACAGTTGGTACACAATGATTTTCACTAGGTGTCACTATTACTGTGGTCATTGTTATATCATTTTGCAGGTATTTTCTCCAGTAGTGCCAAACTTCTTGCCTTAACTGGCATGCAATGCTGAGAAGTGTCTGGAAGTATTGCATTTGAATCCTGACTGCCACTGGTAAATGCTGGGATTCTCTGAACCCCTGTTTCCTCTTTGGTCAAATGAAAGAAAATTGTACCTTCTTTGGGGGTTGCTGAGTGGATTAAGTTGGCTAATGAACTTAAGACAGGTTACTTGGAAACTCTCTCCCTATCAGCCCCAACCCCCTGGCTCCTTGTGGAAATACCATCCTTATTTTCTGTTCCTCAAGGGCATTGTGTACGAGAAATTCCCAGGGTTTCAATGTCGACATTTTCAACATAACACTTTAAGGCATGTTTGACTAAGGCTGGGAGATGCCTCTGCTTTGGGCAGGTTTCTGTCCAGCTGAAGTTTAGTGTTCTCCTTGCAAGGAATGGGGAGGAAGGGACGATGATAAACCTCACATGGTCAGCCTCTGATGAGGGACAAATGAGACTTGTGGGATCTCTGCAAGATGTCTTCCTGGTGACAGCTGGTTCTGACGATGATCCCTCTGTGTCAGGGATGCCATAACAAAGGGCCACAAACTAGGTGACTGATACAGCACAAATGAATAGTCTAACAGTCCTGGAGGCCCTCAAGTCCAAGATCAAGATGTGAGTAGGGTTGGATCCATTGAGGGCTGAGTTGGAAAATCAGTTCTGTGCCTCTCCTCTAGGTCTTGTGGACTGGCCATCTTTGGTGTTCTTTGGTTTGTAGGATCATCCCCTGATCTCTGCCTTCCCCTTCACAGGGGTTCTACCTCTTACGCATGTCTGTGTCCACATTTCCCCATTTCACCAGACAGATTAGGACTCTCCCCTCTGACCTCATTTTGACTCCATTATATCTCTAAAGACCCTATTTCCAAATAAGGTCACACTCTGAGGCCCTGAGGATTAGGATTCAATGCATCTTTTTGGAGGGGGCATGATTCAGCACTCGGCGCCTCTGAGCCGGGCTCCAGCTGCCCTGAGAGTCTTTGGCTGCTCAGCCCCATTTAATCAATTCCTTTTCTGCTTAAGTCAGCTGGAACAAATCAGCCAGTGTCTGTGACTGCTGCAAGAAGCCTGCTTGAATCACATGATTAAGTGTCCTTTTTTTATAACTGTTTTTTTCTTGCTTATTATTATAGACAGTGAGCTTGTAAAGAAGGAGCCTGTAAATTATACTGTTTTCAAGACTGATTGCAGTAGAACCTCCCATCCTGCTTGCCCCTTGATGATATTGTTCAGAGTGTAATTTTAATAAAAAGGGGAAAGTTCCATGTTCTCTGACCCACTTAGCAAAGAAGGATTGAGCCAAGCAGTGAAAGGAGGACTTGGAGAAGAGGGCTGGGAGGAGAAGCTTGGAGGAGACATGAAGTCATGCTTGCTTCTTGCACCAGAGGGGGTCGTGGAAGGAGGTACGTGGAGATACTTGGAGGAGATGTGGGGGAGAGACCCATGGGAGGCTGACAGTGGCAGCATTACCTTGATTCGTACCCTGATTTTGTTCCTCTCATCCAAGTCTTGCCTATATACTGTTTTTCTTCCAAGATTGCTATCTTTCACAATAGATGCTCTCATCATGGACCTCTGGGATCATCTACTAAAAAGAAACATTTGGGTTGTCGTCCAAGAAGCAAGTTTTTCCATGCCAATCTTTGATTAGATTCACACTCATCTGCAGAGCACTTTGAGAGACCATTACACAAATGGACAGTGACCAGAACATGTATAAAAATAGAACACTGACCTGCAACCTGCAGCAAACTGCCAAGGAAACCAGCCTCTTAAAAATAGCCCAGGAAACCAGCCTGCTTTATGCCAGACAGCTAACTCTAGGTGACAATCCAGGAAGCAAAACAATGACTTCTGTAAAAATTGTCCTCAAACGGCCAGGGCTTATTTAATAACTGACAGCTTTCCTAATATTTGTCCCTACTCCTAACTTAGCACCGATGAAAGAAAACCAATTATGCACCCCAATAAGTCACATATGATGGCCGGTTTCGAGAAACTTCCACAGCTTCCACAAACCCACAGCACCAATCAGAGCATACCCAAAGCCTTTTCTTTCTTCCACTGTGATGATTCTCCACTCTTTTGCCCCTGTGCCCTCATGTCTCTGGCAAAACACAAGTGGTGGTGGCTGACTCCCTTTTACGGCCAGCTCTGAATAAACCACTTCACTTTTCTCATATGGTTGGTCTTTGTTGAAGTTCATGGTTTCAGAAGCAGCAATCTCAGGGATATGCCAAGTCAGTCCTCAGAGCCATTTTGGGGTGAGAGGTGCTGCTGTCCCCTCGCTTCACAGTAATGGATTCAGGCTCAGGGGCCATTTGACTAAGTGGCACTAAACCCATGACATCATTCAGCTGTCCTCATGATGGCTGTTAATAATGAGGTGCAAGAAAGTCACCATAAGCGTGTGGGTCCAGGGGCTCTCCCTGGTGGTGCAACGAGTTAAAGCACCATATTATGAAGCTCTCTGAAGCTGCTGCAGCAAGAGTTCAATCCCCGGCCAGGGAGCTGACCCACATGGCACGGCAGACCTCTCCTGGCCTGCCCACTGCTCCCCTCAGCAGTGGATTTCAGTCCATCTGCCTGTTCTGCTCCCCGCTCTGGTGAATCCTCTCAACCACCAAACCTCTGGCCTGTACCCCAGTTCTGTAAGCATAAATAAATAAATCTTTAAAAAAAAAAGAGTGTGGGTCCAAGAGCCGAGAAGTCTGAGTTTAAGTCCTCTAGCTGCTGCTCCTGAGCTAGGTGATTGGGGCAAGTTACCTAAACTGGACCTTGAGTATCCCCTTTGCCCCCTGTCTCAGTCAGTTGACCTCTTGCCAGCTCAACTCAAGCCCTACAGCTTCCTGCCACAGCCCCTGGGCTCAAGCTGAGCCCTCCATCTGCACACCTCCCAAAGTTCTCCCCTCTACTTTCTGCTCCTGGTGACACAAGCTATACAACGTCCATCGTCTGACAGATTCTGGGTGCATCGGGATAAGCTCTGAAAAATCAGACTGTCCACTGCTAACTTATGTTATAACCTCCCTTTTTTGTATAAACATAATATCAAAATATTCTGAGCAACATTCAGTTTAAAACTGGATGGTCTTAGCCACACCGGCTGCTGCCTGGTTCAGGCAAGCTGCCCCAGGAGGAGAAATTCCTCTGTCTCCTGAGACAGAAGGCAAGCCCCAGGAGAAATAAGACCCCAGGACATAAAAACTCCTGGGAAGCTTCCTTGGTTTCTTTAAATAAAAAAGCAAACCTCAGATAAGGCTCCCAGGGCATAATGGACAAATTTTAACCTTGACTACACAGGTGTTGTTTGATATACAACTGTACAACTTGCTCTTAACTTACTCCTTTATAAAACAAGCACTAACTACTCTCTGCCAGCCTTAAATTAGCCACTAGCTTTTCTTTAGACAATCACTGATAACACTGCTAACACAATTTACTACTATCCCAAGAACCTTAACAACCTTTTGCTAACAAGCTCACCCTTTCCCAGACCCCTCTTCCTTTGAGTGATAACTAGACAGCTGTATACATGATAACTATCACAAAACGTATAATCTATTATACCATAAATTGTTAAGAGAAGAATGCTTTTTCCCCTTGTCCTTGAGAATGTTTTATGGAGATATCTCATTAACTTACCCTATGCATTATTACAACTAACTACTTGTTATACAGTATAAATAAAGACCTGCTGAAGGGATAGCAGGAAGACTTGCACCCTATCCAGACTCCCGTGTCTTCCTCACACCCGCTCCTGTCTCCCTTTTTGGAATATCCGCTCGCCGACGCCTTCTCATCTTAGGGTCCTGCCTGTGCTGCCTCCAGACACCTCAAAAGTTGGAGCTAGTCTCCGACATCGTGGTGCAAACTGTCACCTAGAAACCCACAGGATTCTCTGCATACCTCCCTGATCACATGTTTCTCCAGTGAGGCCTCTCTGATGATCTCCTAGCCCAGATACCTCATCATGATTATTATTATTTTTTTACCTAGGCAATATTATTATTTTATAACCTCTCTTTGCCTTAGTGTCCTCATCTATAAAATGTGTATAATAGTATTAACCACTTCATAGGGCTGCACTGAGAATGGAATGAGCTACTGGCATATAATAAGCTCTAAATAATATTAATGATTACAGTTGTTAAATGTCACCATCTCACACAGCATCTTAATTTATTATTTACATGGGCATTGTCAACACCCAACACTCTGCTTTCACTTTCACTTCTTTGCTGATGTAGTTAAGCTCCCAGACATTGTCCTGTGCCTTCAGATCAAACCCCAGTTCTACCACTTTCTGTGCCTCAGTTTCCCTACCTGTGAAACGGAGCCAATAATGGTGCCTGCCTCATGAAACTTTTTTTTAAAATTTCCATTTGCTTGTTTATTCAACAAACACTAACTGAGAACCTACTTTATCTCACACTCTGGGGTAGACGCTGGTTCATAAGAAGACAGGTGCTTTCTATCTGTTTCATTTTAAAGAATTGCTATTCTTGTGAGATTAAGTATGGGAGCCGAATGATTAAAACACAAGATGAAAATCATGAAGGTAAGGAAGGTGAGCAGAGTCCTTGAGGGACACAGATGATGGGTAACCAAGTCTGGCTGAGAGAAGTTATTCCTCCGCCCCAGCAATTCCCACCCAGCTCTATTGAATTATACTTGACTTTCATGGAGTTGCTTTGTTTTTAACATACAAATGAGTAAGTACAGTAGGACACTGATCCTCAACCAGGGTCACTCTGCCTCCAGGGGACACTTGGAAATATCTGGAGTCATTCTGGGAGACTCATTTCTCAGCTCGTATCTTTGCTGTGAAGCAAAATGTGATAATAGCATATGCCTCAAGACCAGGCGTGCAGGAGGGGCGCAATTAGCATTCATCAATGAATGAAATGAAATGGTGCCTCTCCAGGGGCTGGCTCAGCTTGTGGCACCAGGCGGGCACTGAGGAGATATTTGCTTATGCATGCGATGATTCAGTGGTATCTCAGGGCCTGATGCACAGTAGACGCTCAACTCCTCTGTGTTGAGCGGATGACTGAGGAACGGACGAGGTAGTGCTGGCACAGCACCTGCTCAGGGTGCAACATCAGTCTTCCCCCTTCCCCCACAGTGCCCTGCACTCACCGACCACCTGGACTTGGGTCTTGGTCCTCATGGTCCAGTCAGGATTCATAGTGACAGTGATCTGGTAGATGCCACTGTCGTTGGGTTGAGCATGACGCAGCAGCATTGAGCCGTTGGGGAACCCCACGATGTCACGGTGCTTTATGGCACTGCCTTCCCTCTGGGGTCGCTGCAGCTCCGGGAAGTAGGAGAACAGCATGGTGCTGCCACTGATCTCCTCCCCCAGGTACCAGTTGCAGACCTGGAAGATTTCTGGGATGCCATGGACGGACAGGAGAAGGTCTTGGTTCTTTTGAGGGTGCTCTGGAATCTTCTGGATGTGGAGGGCCTCACCAGAGCTTTGGGCAATCCAGAAGGTTAGGATGGAGGCTGTGGGGAGGGACAGGGTTGGTCTGAGATGGGGGTGTTTGATAGCGACCAAAGCATTTTCCTCTTTATAGGTGAAACTCTGGAGCAAAGACTTTGAGTGTTGTTTATTAGAAACAGTGCTGGGGTTGATTAGTGATGTCTGCCTTGGGGCGGACATCACTGCCTATTGGCTCATAAGAGATACTGTGTGACCTACTTCTAAGTACTTGAACTTTCTAAATTCATTCATTCACACATTCATTCATTCACTCACTCATTCATTCAGCTATCCATCCATCCATATAACCATTACTTTAAGGCATATATATTATTTATGCTACAATACCAATTATATATATGCATTGCCTAAAATTCCATGCAGGGGGAGACAGCCGGAAATCAAATACAAAGAAACTCTTGTCCTTGTCGTTCTCACTTCCTAGGATGCTCCATAGATAAAATAAAGATGGTTTTATAATTCTGTTGTCTTTTCTCCCCACCCACCCCTCCCAAACCTTACCAGAATAATTTGTTGTCCCTGCTCGTATTTCCTTTCTCAAGTGGAAACCTTGGTCCCTGGACCAAGTCCCACTTCTTTTCTCGGCCCCGGGAGTATGATTGCTCCTTACCTGAGAGCAGGAGGCTCTTTAAGAGGCGGCCCTGGTCCCCACAGGGAAGTTCCATCTTGGTGTCCTGGGGAAATGCCGAGGGGCTACCTGCTGTCCACCAAGGGGGCCAGAGGACAGGGCCCTGGCTGTCCAACCTCAGCCAGCTCCGTGGGGCTCCTGGGGCTGTCTCCCAGACATGGCCAAGGCGACCCAGCTCCAACACTCTTTTCACAGGCGAGGGAGGTGTCCTCTGAGTGGGACGCCCAGACACTGGTTGAACCAGTTTCCCGGTGACGGGCCATCTTGGGGCTTCCCCGACTCCTCCCCTGACCCCTTCAGTCTCTCCTTCCCTCTCAGGGTGACCATCAGTGGTGCAAACAGTCACTACAACTGTCCTGACCTGGTGCAGCAACACCTTCATCCCCTCCGCCCCCCAGGTAGAGCAGGGTTTTAGTGCATTTCAGAACAAATTGACTCAAATCTGAACAAACTGACTCAAACCTGACTAGTTTATCTCATACCAGGTGTTGCTATTTTAGACTTGTCTTCTCTAACTAACAGGAGTGGGGTCAGGTGCTTTGGATAAAATTGGACTAATCTCCTTACCCCAATCTGTAAACTCCTGCCCCTTTTGTTAAGCAAAAGTTGTCAAAAACGCATTCAGGATACCACCTGGGAGCCTCTGCACCCTCAAACTCAGCAAATATTTTTATTAGCAGCCTAAGGCCCAAGGCAGGCGTTGGGAGGGATTCTCCTTTGAACCTTTGAAGCCTCACTCCTTTGAAGCCCTCACTCCTGAGTGTGTACTCACCTACAGCAAAGCTTCATTTCCAACTCACCTGACTGACTCCTGCCTGAGTCATTTCCTGAGTAGAAATTGAGACCCTCATTGTCCCTAAGCAGCCCTGGGCCGCAACACCCCATCCTCCTTCCCCACCCAGGCTGCTGCAGGTAGTTTCCCCCATACCTTGTGTCCTGCCACATCCAACAGGCAGAAGTGCTCCCACTTCACAAATGATGAAACTGGTCAACAAAGAAAGAGGCACGTCTACTTGCAGGCAGGGTTGGGATTAGATCTGGCTTATGTAGCTCTTAGCAGCCTCTATTCATTTATTCATGATTTCCAACACACAGCGATGATTAAGGCAGCTCCTGCCTTGCCCTCAGTCCAAAGTGGGGCTCAAACTGGGGGGGGATGTCAGATCTAGCTGCAGACTATGATAACCCAGAGTGATCAGAACTAAGATGGAGGGCTAGTTCTCTCAGCGGCTGAGAGCTGAGGGCCAGGGGGGCTTCCTGGAGGAGGGGCCATCTGGACTGAGAGCAGGTGGGCAGAGGATGGGGTGGGAGGAAGCTTGCCAGCTAGTAGACAGCACATGCAAATATGTGAGGCTGAGACCGGCATTGAAGCTGTTGGAGGAGCATGAAAATCCCAGAAGAGTGGACGTGCGGGGTGAGGGGTGGTGAGACTGCAGAAGTGGGAGGGATTGGCTATGTTTTTGAGCTCTGTGGACTAGGGCTGGGTGATGGACAGTGCAGGGTCCTGCTAATACCACTCTGCCTCATGTGATGAACGAAATAGATTTTACATTTGAAAACGAATGGAACTAGCGGTGGTTACATTTGAGCCTTTCCATCATCACCATGAAAAGTTCTACTGGGAAACACTGGTCCAGGGACCTAAGGGGGGCAGTGTCAGGGGAAGGAGCAGGGCCTGGGGCAGTTGGGGTGGCTCTTGGCCCCGGTGGGTGGAGCAACCGCAGACTTCACCCATCCAGTTGGTGAGCCTCCATCCCAGCCTGCTCTGTCATCACTTGGCTGCTGGAACTTGAAGCAAACAACCACTCACTGCTGTTGTTACTATTGTTCCTGTCTTTTGTTTTGCCCTCATGGCTCCCAAATTCTGCCTGCTTCCCTTGTATCTCTGCTCAAGGGACTGTGTTTTCCAACCCCCTGCCCTCCCACTTCCCGATTTGTCCCTAGTTCTGGAAGGTCGGGAGGAGTGCAGCTCCGAATCCACCCTCAGCCTTTTGCTCAGGTTTTTGAGATTTCTGCTCTGCCTGGGGGTTGTTGAGGCTCCCGCAATCATTTCCCAGTGTGGCCACCTGGGGGCGACAGCTCCAAGTTTGGGACCAACAAGCTTGTTCAAACTAGCCTTATTCTGAGGAACTTGGAGTGTAGTTTAAGGGCTAAAGGGATTCTGATACAAGTTTACTGCTCCGCCCCAGGAGCTACTCTGTAAGCAGAACCAGGCAGTGCAGAAAACAAAGCCAGTTATTCTGGATTTTCTAAATTTTTTTTTAATTACATTTTAAAAGGGCAGGTTTGTTAGGAAAAGGAGAAAGGTACCTGCCTGTTATAGAAGGGCGGAAGAGTCGCCATTCCTGTTTTGCAAAGGGCAAAGGTTTGGGAAATGAAACACCTGCATCGTCACAGGTGGGCAGGAGAGCGGCCTCTTGCCAGTGCAGAAATTGTGTGAGATAGTGTTGGATTTTCTAATTGTTAATGCTTCTTTCTTTCTCCCTTCTCCTTCCCTCCCTTTCTCTCACCTGTATCTCTGCTTTTGTCCCTAATAATGGCTCTAAGTCTTTTGGCATAATAAAAAGAAAATTTAAGGTTTAGTATAGAAAATTGTGATTGTATAGACTCAAAAAAGAAAAGAGTAAAACTCAACCACTTCCAAGCTACCCTGAGAGTCACCATAATATCTAGTTGTTCCTCCTCTCTCCATTACAGATCCTCCAGCCGTTTCTCCCTAGCCAGGAGGGCAGGACCTTTTTGCTCAAACATCCTAAGCAGTCTATGCTCTGGCCACTGAGACCCAAGTGGAGTCTGCTGGGAAGATTGTTCTGAATGTCCTGGGTGGGTCCTAAATGTTATCTCAGGGGTCTTATAAGGGAAACAGAAAAGCAGGGAAGGGAGGATGGTGCCATGACAGTGGTTGCAAGGGAGAGAAGGTGGTATGTGTGGCCATGAGCCAAGAAATGCAGATGGTCTCTCTTTATTTTTTTAATTGAAGTAAAATTGTATTACAACATGAAGTAAGTTTCAGGTGTGTCTCATTGAAAATCAAAGTATATATAACATATTAAGTTCACTGCTTAAAGTCCAGTGCTCCCTTTCAGGATGCAATTGCCCCCTTTGTCCTATTTATGTACCACCTTCCTCTTCCCTTCTGGTAACTTGGACTTACGGTCCAAAATTTATTTTTGTTTATTTAGTTCATATAGTTGTTTTAGCTACCATATGAGTAAAATCATATGGTGTTTGTCTTTTTCTGACTTACTTCCTTTAGGCTCATCCGTGTTGTTGCAAATGGCAGTATTTCATCCTTTTTCATGGCTGAATAGTATTCTGTGTTGTATACGTACCACATCCTCTGTATCCACTCATCATTTGTGTCTCCAGTTCTTGCCTATTACAAATAGTGCTGAAATGTACATGGAGGTATGTACAGCTCTTCAAACTAGTGTTTTTGTATTTGGAGGTAAACACTCAGAAGTGGGATAGCCAGATTGTATGGACTTTCTATTTTTAATTTTTTAAGGAATCTTCCCTGTTTTTCATAGCGATTATACCAACTTATAGTCCCAGCAGCAGCATGTCAGAGCTCCCTTCTCTCCACAGCCTCTCTGGCACTTGTTGTTTCTTGTCTTTAGACAACAGCCATTCTCAGGGGTGTGGAGTAACATCTCATTGTGGTTTTGATTTGTCTTTCCCTAATGATAAATGATCATCAACATCATGTCAGATGGCCTTTAGAAACTGGAAAGGTGATGCCAGGTTTCTCTTTGGGGCTTCTGAAAGGAACTAGCCCAGCTGACAACTTTGATCTTAGTCCAGGAGCCTCATTTCTGTCTTCTAGTCTCCATAGTGTAAGAGGATAATGTTTTGTTTTTCAAGTTATTAAGTTTGTGGTGCTCAACTTCCCTGTGGGAAGGGTATACAAGTCAATGGTTTGGGCCATATTAGACGATTAATTTTTAAAGCTATGGGAAAGTAGAGATAACAAAAATTGGCCACTGTCATTTTTTTTTTAAAAGATTTATTTTTTTCATACAGAACTGGGGTACAGGCCAGAGATGCGGAGGGTGAGAGGATTCACCAGAAACAGAGTGGGGAGCAGAACAGGCAGATCAACGAAGTACACTGCTGAGGGGAGCAGCGGGCGGGTCAGGAGAGGTCTGCCACACCATGTGGATCTCCTCCGGGGCAGGCGGGGATCGAACTCATGCGGAAGTGACTTTAGCTTCTTAGTGCAGTGCTTTAACCTGCTGCACCACCAGGGAGGGCCGGCCACTGTCATTTTTAAGTGTATGGTTCAGTGCAAAAGAATGGAGTTGTCCCTTCCCTTATATCCTATGGATCCCTGATGTCTTCTTATAACTATCAATTTGGATGTTTGTGTATTCCAGTTAAGGAATTATAAAGAGAGAGAAGAAGAAGACAAACTCTCCTGCTGTGTCTGAGAATCCCGGGGACCTGTGGCCTTTATGATTCAGTTTTGCTTCCAAGTCTCTGGTTTTGTCCCACATGAGACTTGGCCCCATCTCAGTTCCCCCCAGGACCCCTTACATACATGTAGTCACCTGAGCTATAATAAATGCATTTTATTTATTTATAATATTTTATTTAAAAAAGGTTTATTAATTTATGCATACAAAAGCTGGAGTACAGGCCAGGGGTGCAGGGGGTGAGACAGTTCACCGGAGACAGAGTGGGGAGAACAGGTGGATCTACTGAAATACACTGCTGAGGGGAGCAGTAGGGAGAGAGGAGGTCTGCTGTGCTTTGGGGGTTACTTCCCTGGCTGTGGGTAGCTTTATAGTGTTTTTCACTATAAAACACCGGGGAGGCCCCATAATAAATAAATTTTAATGAGGTATTTACAAGCTGGGGATAACCAAGAGGTGGATGTGACAGTGAGCCAATGATTCTGGGGTGCCTCACTGGTCACCCTGAGCCCCTCATGCCTGGGAGCCTCATCCTCTGTACCCCTCCCCCCACCATTGTAATGTTTCCCATCTCTTCCCATCACTTTCTGTTCTGCTCTCATGTCTGTTCACAGCAAATCCGGAGTCTTCCTTTTTTCTTGCACAACAACCCATGATGTGCTCTCTGGTTCAGCACTCCGGCCCCAGGTCTTACCGCCCAGAGCATTTTCTCAAACAGTTCTTTCTGTAGGAGGAGTCCAGTGCCAGCCCACGATCATAGTCTGCTTGAAAGTAGACATGGGAGGTATGTCTGAGGCTCAGCCTTCTGCTCTTGGCTGAGCCTGTACCCGTCACAGGGTCATGCATCCTGAACAGCCAGTTCATGCTGCCTCAGCGTCTTTCTCCACGTGTTAGAAATTCATCTTGCTGGTGGTTACTGGCTCCTGTCCTGAGGTCCTGTCAACACCAGTTCCCTGGCTGCAGTTGCTTTCCTGGGACTCTAGTCTTGGCAGAGGGTATCTGGGATGAATGACCTCCAAGTTCATACCCCCTAATGGTTCCTGTTCCCCAGACAGCCCCAGGCGGTGGGTTAGGGGCCTGAGTTTCAGCTTCTGGTTCCTTCTTTGTGACAGCAATCAGCAGCTATTTGTTAAAACCACAGAGATTCAGCCAACATAGAGACTGAGAAGTTCAAGACCAGAGGTCAGATTCTTAACAGACTCTGGCAGTTGAACATTCTGTGGGGCCCACTGTACAGGAGAGGATCACCTTGCCTGGAGAGGGAGTAACGTCCAAGCCCTTATGTCCTGCCCTAGAGGACATAGAGGAGTGTCTGTTTACCTGGAGGCTGTGGGCCTCAGGGGAGCCTTTGTTCTTAGTGCCTGATGGTGGGGTTCTTGGCCACATATATCGATTTGACCTCTGAAGGGGCTAGTGACTAAGGTTGGCTGTATGGACATTGACCCTCCCCTCAATAAAAATTCTGGACACCTAGACTAAAGTGAGCTTCCTGGTCAGCAATAAGCCATGTGTATTTTTGCTGGAAGACGCATGCACTTGTAACCCCGCCCCCAGGGAGTGTGGACTAGAAGCCCCCAGGATGGCTGGAAGCTCCGGGTCCCTTTTGCTCCTGTCCCATGTTCTTCTTCCTGTTGCCCATCACTTTTACAGTCCAGTGTCATAACTAGTAACAGGTATCATAGCTTTCCTGAGTTCTAGGAGTCCTTCTAGCCTGAGACTGAGGGTGGCCTCAGGGGTCCCCTAACTTCTCACACTTGTGTCCTAACATTGGAGGAGAGTGGCCGGTCTCTGGGCAGGGAGCTTCATCCATTATGGTGGGGTCCAGCCTAGAGGCCCATGTCCTTGGCAGTTTCAGTCTCTCTCTATTCATGTCCCCTGCCGTCGCCTTGTGCATTCTGCCCTTGCAGGTCCTGGGGAGTGCTCACAGGAACATACATGGAGTCCTAAAAGGAGGGTATTCAAACTGGAGTCATCAGTGGCCCCCTTCAGACAAGATCTTCCCATGGAAGCCCCAAGTGCAGACCTGTCCCTGCCTCCTCAGAAGCCAGGGCGGCACTTCCCAAGGTGTGGCTGTGAGTGGGGCAGGAGGGAGTCTACTAAAATGCAGACCCCTGTGCCCCAGCACAGACCCTCCAGACAGGTGCTTGAGGGGCCATTTCTGGCACCTGCATTCTAGCAATTCCTGCAGAGGATTCTGCCCAGCAGGTAAGGTTGGGGATTGCTGCTGGAGGAATTTGAAGTAAAGATCTGGAACCTGAGTCCTGATGTGATGCTGTCTTTTGATTAAATATAGACATCTGTCCCCTCCTTGGGAAAGCACCCAGCATTCAGCCTGTGGTTCGTGCAGGCCCTCCAACCCCTCAGTTGCACCACCACACTTACCTTATTAGCAGAAGGGTTACTGTGGGAACGACCTGCAGAGACAGGAGAGAAGTTGTCAGGAGTGAATGGCAATGCTCAGAAGCCCAGGAAGATGCCAGGGTGACAGGGCCCCTTGAATCTGAAGTCCCAGATCAGCTACCGACAGGGATGGAGGCAGCTTCCCTTTAAGGTTCTCTCTACTGGGATAGAGGTTTGGTCCAGTTGTTTGTTTAGCTAAAGAACTGTTGAGCACAGGCTTTGCAGCAGATGGACAGGTTCGCATCCCAGCCCTGATCTTTAGGAGCTGTGTGACCTTGCACAACTGTCTTAACCTCCCTGTGTCTCCATTTCCTCAGTCACCAAAGAGGGATTTATCCAACAAATAGCAAATGTCTACTTTGTGCCAGATCCTTCCTAGGTGAATAAAACAACAACTGTGAATAAACAGACAAAAAGATCTTCCGTGGGAAGATCTTGTCTGAAGGGGGCCACTGATGACTCAAGTTTGAAAACCCCTGCCTCTGTGGAACTTGTAATAATAACATCGATAATAATATCAATAATGGCAATGGTGACCTTGCCTCATCTATTAAGTGTGTGGCTTACAGCGTGCCAAGTGCTAAAAGCTTTACCTGTGTGATGGCTGCAACTCCCCCATTTTACAGGTGAGGAAACTGAGTCAGAGGGAGGGAGTCATTTGCCCTTGGTGATACAGTAAAGCAGGGCAAGTGAGGTCCTGAGCACAGGATGATGATGCACTCAGCAAACCCTTCCTCCAGTGCCACATGAGGTGGTGCTGGGGACACAGCTGTGACTCACAACACCAGCTCTGTCATCTGGGGGCCCACCGTCCATTAGTGAGACAGACAAGTTCCCTCACAGTGATGATCCAGACTGGGGGGAGGAGCCCAGAGCTGGCCCATTCTGGGGACTCAGGGAGCCTCCAGCAGGGATGTGAGGAGGCAGTTTTGTTTAGTGGCTGAGGGAACAAGCTTTGAAGTACTTGTGACTTCCCAGCTGGGGGG